ACACGCACACGCACACGCACACGCACACGCACACTCACGCGCGCACACACACACACACACACGCACTCACGCACGCACGCACGCACGCACGCACGCACACACACACACACACACACACACACACACAAACACGCACACTCTCTGTAGTTCTCTCTCTCGCTCTTTCTCTCGTCTCTCTCTCTCTCTCGCTCTTCCTTCTCTCTCTCCCCCTCTTTCTGTTTCTCGCTCTCCCTCGCTCTCTGTTGTTTTTTCGCGCCGCATCTTCTCTCTTTAGCAGAAGAGAAGTGGCTGTCGATTGAGCCGTGTTGTATAATCAGTAATCTTGGCGTTGCTACACAACGTACACGTCTTTCTAAGCAGCAATACATAGCGAACTCTAATGATGGCAGTGACAGATGTAGACTCGAGCGGGCTTCAGTTAAGTGATGCACCAAGCGATGTCGATGAAGTCGATGTTCCTACAGCTATCAACGCTCCCGCTAGCATGTCGGGGAGAGGCAACGCGAAAGCCGAGCGGTCTACAGGGATAGAGCTATACGTCCGCGGATTCGTGGATACCGGCGAGGTCCAATTAATCTCAGTTAATTCCATCAGTTATGAGCTGAAATTTTCTAAGCTATACGCGTCGCTTCGGCGTGCGTCGCACATCGCGCTGCCGGTAGATGCGTCATGCACTCCCCCGTCTTGCGTCATCAGTCGCGGACGCAGGCAGGGAGTAGCACTTCTTCTCTTCTACTCGAGTTTGAATTACGCTCATTATCGGGTAGGGTCTTCGCGGGCCCTAATTATGATTTGGCAGCTGCGGAGGTTCTATCGCTCCATCGTCTCTATACTCCGGCTCGTATGTCCTGCGCAGCCTGCCTTATATGGCACCTACCGACGCAATCGCCCACAGCGCCTGTCGCCGCGGATTATTTCACGGCGGATGCTCATGACAGCTGGGCTATTTATAGATGCACGCGCGACTTTTTTTATGGGAATGCGCGCGTAACAGCATATGGCTTCATGGACACTCTTCGCGTATGTTCCTGCGTTAATATTCGTCGATTTTTATGGATCGATAACCGTGCCTTCTATGCGACGTAGCTCTTTCCAGGGTTTTTATCTGCTGGTACGGGGAACGGGTGACTACAAATGGTGGACCTAGCTGCGAGTTATTTTCAGTCAACTCGCTTATAGTACATTTACCAGGGCCGTATAGCTAGATAAACGGCCAAGGACGAGTTTCTCTTTCCATCCAGACCAATGTAGGTACTATTACACGGTCACTGGCGAAATGCCCACGGTTAACTGACAAATGTACAACCCGCAACTGGCTTTGGTTTCCACCCTCAGGCAGAATGAGTTAGCTACGACCCTGTTCACGTGAACGTGCGACAGTATATAGCGATTGGAATTAGTAGCTGACAGTGCGAGGGCGCTGGTTACATGGCTATATCACCGTACCATCTGCCCGCTGTTTCCCTTGCTGTTTGTTGTGATAGCTAGGCACGTGCGCGCAATGTCTTCTGCAATGGTGCAGACGGCAGATGGCACTCGATAGATTTCGCGTTGACACGTGCTCGGACGCTATTTCTGTAAACAAACGTATCCGACAATCCGTCGAAACGGGTTTTTGCAATAGTGCGAGCGCTATCCGCGTGCGTAACCTTCGAAAGTTCTGATATGGCAAACATCGCTTACGAGGGGCTCATGTAAATGGTGGTAGATATCCATTAAGAAGAGGAAAGCAAAGGGGAGAGAAAACAAGAAAGCGAGCTTGCTAGAGACGGAGGGATACACATACAAAGAGATCAATGAACAGACATTAAATAAACAAGAAAGCGAGCTGAAAGAAGAGGGATAATAAGAAACGGGAACGAGCAAGCAAAATGGGGAGATTGCAGAAACGGTTTAATCAATGAGTCAATGCGTAATAATGCGACAATTAAACTGATTATTGCGAGATTTTTGCTCAGAAAAACTAAATATAGCTGAATATAGTCTCACCTGACAGCGGAAATATCACTGATTACACCAACATTAAAAACACTAAGATTTTATGCAGTTATAGCATAGAAAATTGGAGATGAACACATCGTAACAGCAATGCATTTTATCGTGTAGCGAGAATGGCAGAATTGGTAAACTTGTAAATTGTCGGTGATTAATTGAAAACAAATGCATTTGATAGCTACAGATAGATACAGATAGATAACAACAATTAATATTTGCAGGTCCTGTGAGATAAACCTTTCTAGCCATGTCTGACGAGGAATATTCCGAAGAGGAATACTCAGAGGAGTAAGTATTATTGACGTCTTCTAATGGAAACCATATTGCGCAAAATCCAGATAAAAATATAAATAAATAAATAAATAAATAAATAAATAAATATTAACCTGCTTGCACGGCCATTTTGTGTCAAGATGTGTGCTCTTTGAAATAAACCGAATAAATGTGTTTCATCCTTTTGCAGAGAACGAGAAGAAAAACGCGTGGCGAAACCGTGAGTAAATAACATGTGCGATGCTACATGCCATTAACCTTCCTTTCTTTTCCTACCCGTGCGGACTCTTTCACACGCGGTTAATCTCACAACCATGCATATACTGGCTGCTGAAACCATTTCGAGTGACGAAGGACGAGAGCTGTACTGATTCCTGTTTTTATACCAGATGGAAAATATTCTCAAAACGCCCAGATGTTTTACGATCTGTTTCGATATTATATATCGATTATTGATCTTCTTCTTTCAGACAAGAACATCAGGAGCACAAGGAAGAACCAAAGCTGAAGTAAGTAGATCACTGGCTGAGTGAACGGGGTTCGTTCTACCTAGCTTATTATGTGTCTCAGCCTAATTTTCCTAAGCTTCCTAAAGTATTGTCTACTTTTGGTAGATACTGACGCGCTTGTTTGTATCCATACACTGATAATGCAAGCGCCAAGTTTTCGTCACAAAATGTTTGCGCATTAATTAAATAGGTAACATCGTTGCAGCGACAATTGCCGCTCTCGGCTCCGTATGCGTTATTTCACTTTGTGCGTCTCGCGCTTGCAGGCATGTAGAGAGGAAGGATGCGGAGGAGGAAGCTCCTCCCAGGGAGATGACTGAGGCAGAGCGCGCGATGGAGGCCGCCCGCCGCAAGAAGAAGGAGGAGGACGAGGCACGCTGGGCCGAGTATCAGCAGCTGCGAGCCATCGAGAGAGCTAAGGAGGAGGAGGAGCTGAAAAGACTGAAGGACAGGCAGACGATGAGGAGAAAGGAGAGAGATGAGGAGGATGCGCGCATGGCCGAGCAGAGGAGGATCATGGAGGAGCAGCGTCAACTGGAGGAGGTGGGCGAGGATCCCGCTCAACGTTTTAAAGAGTCTCTCTCTCGATTTACATTAATCTCACATACAATCATCGCTCATCCATGGAGATATACCCCCTCGTGTGCACGTTGATACTAACAGGCTTTTCTTTCACCAAATGGACATTATGGATACATACCCCGCGTTTGTACGTTAATACTAACTGGACTTTCTCTCGCCAGACGGAGATCATGGCCCGCAAGTCTGAGGAGAAGAAGCGCCGCCTGGCGGAGGCAGAGAGGAGGCGCATGGAGCTGATGGGTGCCACCGGACAGACGGACGCTAGCAACAGCCCAAACTTCGTCATCACAAAGAAGGCGAACGAGGGAACCAGCAAAGAGGTAAGGTGAAGAGTAACGGGTAAAGATATTAGGGCGAGAGAACCGGCTAGCTAGCGTCGTGCTGAGAATGGATAAGCTTTGTAGAGCGCTTATTCACATCATGATAGACACACGCGAGTTTCTCTTTCGAGTTTTCGAGTTTTACTCAGACATTCGTCATGTTTCACAGGAAATTACGTTGAAAAGTGTGAAAGATTGTGCATTTTACAGGCCGCGTTGGCGACTGCCTCAGCCATATTTACCTGGTCGTTTGACAACGCCATCATTGCGTACCTCATTCGCTCGGTACTGATCGAGTTTCGATTGTTCCTAGGCCATCGGCAAGAGGTCTGCAGCACAGCTGGAGAGGGAGAAGGAAGCTTACATGAAGAAGAGGGTGAAGCCGTGCAACGTGTCCGGCTGGGACGCGGCTAGGCTTAAGGAGAAGGCGCAGCAGCTGCATGCCAGGTTAGTCATGCTCAGCGAGCCAGCAGCGAGTGAAGGCACGGGACCTTCCCACCTCTCCATGCAATGCGAACTGTTACGGTGTTGTTTTGCGATGGGCTGAATGATAAGAACATGATGCAAAAAAAAATTTACAAATTAAAAATTAAACAAAAAAGTTTTAATTATTGTTTATTTTTTAAAGAATAATAATGGAAAGACAATTAAACTCATTTACCCTTTTTACTTTCAGGATCATTAAGCTGGAGACGGAGAGGTTTGACCTTGAACAGAAAAGTCAGCGCCAGGAGTATGACGTAAGTATCACGTGCGCATCCGTTCTCTGTCCTCGTCCACTCATATTCTAACACTGACGCGGGAATATTAACGGTGGTCATTGATACCGAGAATAATCACATGGGGAATATTGAAAGCTTGGACATATTGCTCACCGGAAAATATTGCCACCGACAAAACAGTTATCTCCAATAAACAGCTTTCCAATATCAAATCTGTCGAATAAAATCAAGATTCGCAGGTTGGGTTAGTCTCTATCGATAAAATCTATATACGAAATTGAATTACTATTATATTAATATATAATTATTTAATTAACAAAATAAATTATATTAATACGGGGAGGCCGCGACATAACGTTAAACAAGCTGAGATGAGCGCAGACATTTCGAGACAAGAGGGCGGCAGACACGTGATACCCTTGCGTCATGAGCATCAGACTCGGCACGCGCTGCTTGCTTAATGACTGCTGTCATCCAGATGTCGGTGCAACCAAAACGGGAGCTGCGTCTGCGTTTAAATCTCGCTGTAGATTAGTAGCAGCAGGGATGCGCGGCAGATGCCATCACCGCGGCGGCTACGCCTGCAAACATGATGTAACCTGCGGCAATGCTCCATGACAGGCACCGTGTACAGCGCGGATATGCCTATATACATATACATATATAATATATTATATATATGTGTGGGTGTGTGTGTGTGTGTGTGTGTGTGTGTGTGTGTGTGTGTGTGTGTGTGTGCGTGTGTGCGCGCGCGCGTTTGTGTGAGTTATGATATTGTTTATATACAGAAGTCTTTGAGTGTCCTTAAATTGATTCCCCGTGGACATCTCACTGCTGTATTAACATTTGTTCTCGACGACACGTCGACGAATAATCGAACTAATCGAAGTTCAATAAATACTCCTCAACCCCCCTCCCCCCTATCGCGGGGAGCGGGAATCGACCAACGGATCGCGCATAACTGTGATGCAACCATTAAATATTTTCTGCAAAACCTCCATCTATCCTGTCATGCTACATGTCCAACGCGCGATCATTAATTGCCGTCAGCTGCGATGACGTGGGATGTATATGCAGTGCCATCCGGTCGTTGACTGCATCTAGGAGTAGCTGACTGTTAGCAGCCCCCCGTTCACTTCCTCTCGCACACATGTTAATCAGATTTCTTGTGCGAGTGTTGATCGCTCGCCGAAATAAGATCCCGTCATATTGGCGGCCATGAAAAAAACATAACGTGCTGTTACTTGATCAAAAAGTCCTTCATCGAAAATCAAGGTCATTTGTTCGTCATCTCCGTCGTTGTTACTGTTGCTTTTTGTTCTTCCTCTTGTTGTTGTTGTTGTTGTTGTTGATGATGATGATGATTATGATGATGATGATGATGATGATGATTATGATAATGATGATGATGATGATTATGATAATGATGATGATGATGATGATGAAGATGAAGGGCTTGTTGCTGCTGTTGTTGTTGTTGTTGTTGTTGTTGTTGTTGTTGTTGTTGTTTTTTTTATTATTGCTTACTCATTCTTTTTCTTTTTCGTTTTCTCTTTCTCATTATCTTTCTCTTTCGCTCTCTGTTTCGCGCTCTCATACATACGGTGTACTCTTCATTGCTGCGCTATATAATAGTTAAGTTATTATACGTGGAACATTCCGTACCGTTTTCAAATTCCGAGTTCAGCTTCATTTACTGGGCCTAGATATTTTGACGTTTTGTTTGTTTTTGAACATATCTGACATTGCAATGTTTTCAGGATATTGTACTTTTCTCGTACGATTTCGTGTTTCTTTATCGTGTAATATAACGATATCAAGAGAAAGGGGATGGGCGTAATGTTTAAAAACTGAAAAGTTTAGTTTTACGTTCAAGTACTGTTAGCTTGCGCGTTTTAATATAGATGCGTTCTAATCTTCACATTAGAGATCACCCAGTGTTATCCATTATCGAAAGTTAATATTTACGTGGAAGGAAAGCTGATGTTATAATTTTTATGAGTAAATTATAAAGACGAGAAAAGTCTTTCAAAGGCGAAAAAGAAAGAGTCTTTTAAGGACGACATTTATGCAGAACTATTTCCTTCTTAATACTATCTAGCCACCCAGCATTTGAACAATATTTAGGTAATAAACGTAGTTTGGTTTATATTTTTAATACATTACGAATATAATTAAAATAAACATATACACTTTATTTATATTTTGATATCGTATATCTCACTCGAGGGCGCGTTAGAATATAGTTAATACAATCCAGATTTCAATAGGTAATTTTTTTCACATTTAACTCCACCTTTTGCGATATTAGAAATGTGAATTCTGCGATATTTACTCAGCTACAGTGCTTTTAACTTTTCTACTGCCGTCCAACCCTCTAGTAGACGAGGCAAAATTAATACAGAAAGACCAGAAGGCAGCGAAGGAAGCTGCGTATCATCGAACCGAGCGAAGCCGGAATTTGACGTCAATTTTATTATCCGTGCTATAAATACGTACGGGGGCGATTCCCTTCTGCGCTATCATTTATGTGTCAGGGTAAACTGCAACCTGAGATTTGATGGGTGGTGTCCATGACTGGCTGGCTCGCCTTTTCGCCATCAGTCTTAGCAATTAAAACTTTTTGCGCGCATTCCATTGTCGCTCATCATCTGCTGCTGCTGCTGCGTTGGTGCCGCTGGTGCTGGTGGTGCTGGCGCTTTACTGGTTCTGCTTCTGCTGCTGCTACTGCTGCTGCTGCTGCTCTGCTGCCCTGCTGGTTCTGCTTCTGCTGCTGCTGTTGCTGCTGCTGCTGCTGGTGGTGGTGGTGGTGCTGCTGCTGCGGCGGCGGCAGCTGCTGCTGCTGCTGCTCTGCTGCCCTGCTGGTTCTGCTTCTGCTGCTGCTGTTGCTGCTGCTGCTGCTGGTGGTGGTGGTGGTGCTGCTGCTGCGGCGGCGGCAGCTGCTGCTGCTGCTGCTCTGCTGCCCTGCTGGTTCTGCTTCTGCTGCTGCTACTGCTGCTGCTGCTGCTCTGCTGCCCTGCTGGTTCTGCTTCTGCTGCTGCTGTTG